TCATACTTGTGGTTACCAGAGGTGGGGGCGGGGAGAGGGCATGGATGAAGGTGGTCAAAACGTACAAACTTCCACTTACAAAATAAGTCCTAGGAGTGTAATGAATAGTATGATAAATAAAATTAACACTGCTATGTTATACACAAAAGCTGTTAAGAGAATAAATCCTAAGAGTTCTCATCACCAAAAAAAGTTTTTTTTCTATTTTTTTCATTTTGGAGATGATGGATGTTCACTAAACTTACTGTGGCAATCATTTCATGATGCATATAAATCAAATCATTATGCTGTACACCTTAAACTTATAACACAGTGCTGTATGTTAATTATATCTCAATAAAACCAAAGGAAAAAAGGTATAAAGACTGCGAAGAAGTAAAAATGTCAGGATTCATAGACAACATAATTATTTACCAATAAAATCAGACTATAAATTAGAAAATGAAATTTTTAAAAATTATACCGTAATTTACAATACCATCAAAAGACACCAAATATCTAACAGTAATAGATAGCAATAGATAGCAATAGATATCAATCTATCTATTGAAAGACCTCTACCCATAAGGAAATTTTTAAAATTTCATTCAAAACTCAGGGATACTGCTGTATATAAAATAGACAGCCAACAAGGACCTACTGTGTAGCACAGAGACCTATATCCAATAGCTTATAATAAGAGATAATGGAAGAGAAGGTAAAAAAAAGAATACACATATGTATACATGTATGTGCAACTGAAGCACTGTGCTATACACTTGACACACAACACTGTCAATCAACTATATTTCTATAAAAATGCTAAAAATAAATAGATAAATAAAACTCAGGGATAGAACATGTTCACAGATTAGAAGACTTAATATCATATAAGATGTCAATTTTTCACAAACTGACCTATAGGCACAATGAAATGCCAGTAAGTTTCCCACAGGACTTTCATGGAAACTTCCAGGCTGATCCTACAATGTGTATGGAAAAGCAAGTGAAAGTTGTGAAAGTGAAAGTCGCTCAGTCATGTCCAACTCTTTGTGACCCCATGGACTATACAGTTCATGGAATTCTCCAGGTCAGAATACTGGAGCGGGTAGCCTTTCCCTTCTCCAGGGGATCTTCCCAACCCAGGGATCAATCCCAGTCCTCCTGCATTGTGGGCAGATTCTTTACCAGCTGAGCCACAGGGAATCATGGAAAAGCAAAGGGACAAGAAACTCTTGAGGAACTTAGTAGAACTTATCACACTCCTGGATAAACTGTGATACATTCATAAAACTGAACATGATACAGCTATAAAAACAGAAGGAGAAATAACCACAGCCACACCAAACAACATGAACTCATGACTCACCCAAGCACAATGTTGAACAAGAGAACAAAACAGAAAGGAAACCTTTCCACTTATATAAAGTTCAAAACCATGGAAAACCAGTCTAAGTGTGTAACCTTTGAGGAGAAGGGAAGGAGCAGTGATTAGCAGGAAGCATAAGGACCGCTTTTAGGAGATAAGGGATATGTGTGTGTGTGTGTGTGTGTGTGTGTGTGTATCCGACTCTTTTCGACCCCATATAGACTGTAGCCCACCAGGCTCCTCTGTCCACAGAATTTTCCAGGCAAGAATACTAGAGTGAGTTGCCACTTCCGACTCCAGGAGATCTTCCTGACCCAGGTATTGAACCTTCATTTCTCACATCTCCTGCGCTGGCAGGCAGCTTCTTTACCCCTGAGCCACCTAGGAAGCCTTTAGGAGGTGGTAACGTTCTGTTATTTAATCTGGGTGTTGGTTACTTCATATCATTGCATTATTGCTTATAATTTTTTGCACTTTTCTATGTATATAATTTAATCAGAAAGCTTAAAAAACACGGTAAGGAAATATGAGGGACACAAAAGAAATTACACAAATAAAATGGAAAAGAATAGATATAAAAATGATCAGAGAAAATGTTAGGTACAGAAAATAAAACCAATATACTCACACTGATATTCCTTGGAAAATGAACACATCAAATGAAACTAAAAAGATCTTCAAAAATCTAATAGATGAAAATGTTCCCAAAATAGAGTCTTAACCTATACATCAAAAGGACACACCCTGTCCTAGGGAATTCTGATTCATGTGCTGGTGAAGTCACTAGACTTCAAAGAAAAACTTCAAGGATAAAGACAGACTCAAACAGGCATTAAGATAGAGAAGGAATGAGGAAAATAATCAAAATTAGACTCAAGATTTCTACAAAAGTAAATGCCAAGAGATAACAGAGCAGAATTCTAAATAGCTATGGTTACTGAATAGAACAGAAATGTATTAGTTATAATAATAACACAACTAATCCCAAACAGTGGGGGAGGGAAGCGGGGGAAGGGTCAGTGTGCTGAGTCAGGTCATCACAGCAGGAGGTGAAGACTAAGGGGACCAGAGCTCAAGACAAGTTAGGAAAACATGAGTACATTAAGTTTAAAGTATTTAGATTAATAATAGCATTTAGGGCACAATTTCTCTCTATCTGTTTATCTTTGTTTTATGTCTGAAAGAAGTCTAGAATAATAGTTACCAACTGTAAGTTAATGAAGATGTTTCTGGGCAGAATTTGTTTGGGTTTTTACATACTTTCTTTTTTGCATTGCTTCAACTTTTTTATGAGAAAAAAAATCATTACTCTAAAAATGAGTAAATGAATTAATCATCTAGAAATACAAAGGCATTTCATTTTGCTTTCTTCCTGTTCAGATATAAAAATGAATTAAATCTAGCCATTGCTTGTTTGGTAGAATCAATAAATATTCAGAGAAATGGACATGATTTGTCTTTATCAAGAATAAACTTAATTAGTACAAAATTCTAAAATAAAACAGTAACTCTGCTACACAATATTTGTGTCTCCCCTAATTTATACCTATGTCCAAATCTAATCCCCAGTGTGATAAAGTGAGGAGGTGGGGCCTCTGAAAGGTGATTAGGTCATGAGGGTGGAGCCCCTGTGAATGGGATGAGTGCCCTTCTACAAGACCCCAGAGGGCAGCCTTGCTCTGTCTGCCATGGAGGACACAGCGAGAAGTCAGCCATCTGTGAATAAGCAGAGGGTTCTCACTAGACAACAAATCTATTGGCACCTTGGTCTTGGACTTCACAAACTCCAGAACTGTGAGAAATAAATTTCTGTTGTTTATAACCCACCCAGTATATGGTAGGAGCTTCCCAGGTAGCTCAGCAGTAAAGAATCTGCCTGCCAATGCAAGAGACACAAGGAGATCCCTGAAGGAAATGGCAACCCACTCCAGTATTCTTCACTGGGAAATCCTATGGACAGATGAACCTGATGGGCCACAGTTCACGGGATTGAAAAGAGTTGGACATGACTGAGCAGCTGAGCAAAGGCACACATGCTATGTATGGTGTGTTGTTACAGCAGCCCCAATGTACTAAGACAAACTCTCATTGAAGTCGACAGACCTCACAAAATTGTAGGTCACTAGCAATCAGGAGAAGGCAATGGCAACCCACTCCAGTGTTCTTGCCTGGAGAATCCCAGGGGCAGAGGAGCCTGGTGGGCTGCTGTCTCTGGGGTCGCACAGAGTCGGACACGACTGAAGTGATTTAGCAGGAGCAGCAGCAGCAATCAGGAATAAATTCAACCATAAGTGATATGACAAAGACCCCTAATTTTCTCTAGATTCCATAAATAATATCAACACAACTACTGTTCACTTTTCAAATTTTAAAATCTAATTATCCAAGGACTTCCCTGGCAGTCCAGTGACTGAAACTCAACTTCTACTGCAGGTGGCACGGGTTCAATCCCTCATAGAAGAACTAAGATTTCACAAACTGCACAGCATAGTCAAAAATAAAACAGGATAACAACGTCCCATCGATTTAAAAACATAATAATAAAATAAAATGGAAGTATACAAATCACCTGCTAAGAAATCTGAAAAGCAAAAAGTGCCTACTGATGAGTAAGCTTACTTAGTAACGACAGTCAGTGGTACAGCTGAATAACAGTCGTACTAGCCATCATGAAAATAAAACTATTTGGAGTCACATTCTTCTTAGGGTAGGGCTGACAATTATCTAGCTTTTGCACCTTCTTTATCACTTTGACAACCAGAAGAAAAATAAGGAAGAAGTCCCTCAAAATCAAATAGGGTATATTAGAAATAGAGGTAAAAGAAATGTTTTAAAAGAAAACCAAGAAGAATCTCAATTCTCAGACACTAGAAGCAAGAAAGATGCCACTAAGGGTATAGGCAATTTAAGCAGGAATTTTACCCCAATATTTTAAAACAGATTATCATACTAAGTCAGAGAAAGACAAATATCATATGGTATCACTTACATGTGGAATCTAAAATGTGATACAGATGAATTTATTTACAAGAGAGAAACAGACTCACAGACTTAGAAAACAGACTTGTAGTTACCAAAGGGAAAAGAGGGGTAGGTATACACAAAAAATGGACAGCAAGGTCCTACTATATAGCACACGGAACTATATTCAGAATCCTGTAATAAACCCTAAAGAAAAGAACATTAAAAAAGAATATATATATAATATAAATATAGATATAACTGAATCACTTTGCTATATACCTTAAACTAACACAATATTACAAATCAACTATAATTCAATAATCAAAAAAAAAAAAAAAAAAAGAACAAGTACTAAAATGTTTCCAAATTTTCGCAGACACTTTTGAAATTCAGGATCATTCTTTGGAACTTGAACCAATACCCAGTTAATATCCTTATTTTAATTTAATGCTTAAATTTCCCTGACAAATCATTTTTGCATTACCAAAGTATTTCAATACATACTGGTTGGAGTGCGTTAGTGTTGCGTTCTGCTTTGTCTTCATTAACAGACATGGAGAGTATTCTAAACACATGGGACACAGACATTCAGAGAATGTGCAGTGCAGAAGGTTGAGGGCATTCCAGGAAAGGGCAGCCTCATAATGTTATCCACAAGCAGCAAGAAGGCAAAAAAGCGACTCATTACCTGCTGAGCTGCAGCATCCTGCTCGACATAAGCTACTTGGCCTGGGTCTGTAAACAGTGTCTAAACAAAAACAACAACAACAACAACAGCTTACCAATAGATCATTAGACAGCTTGTCTATGCAGGAAGAATTATCCTACTGCTAAGCACCAACTCCTGAGAGAGTTAACTCCCAAATAGCTAGTAATAATCTTTCATTAATGAAGAAGATAAAGGCAGCAATTCTATATTTTGCCAAAGGCTTTCATTCATATGTCTTCAAAGAGATTGTAAAAGCTAACTCTCTCCGTTGGCTGACACGCTGCACACTTTGTGATTTTACTCTAAAGCAAAGCCTCTCCTGAGATTGAATGTCATAGTTAATTAAAAAGGCATTCCATGAACAAGGGGGCATGCATTCTCACATAACACTGTGTCACAGGGGTAGACTTGCAATTAAATGAAAATGGTTGAAGATACACTAACAAATAGAAGAATACTGTATACCCAAGAATTACAACTCTTTCCAATATAAATACACACTCAGCAGATATAGAAAATAAATAAATAAACTGCATTTAATGTTCCATAGACCCTTTTTATAATAAAGCCAATAAGATGATAATTTTCAAAGTTCTCATTATAAACATTAATTGGCTGATGGTCATGATAACTAAAGAAGGAAAACCTTCAAAATTATTTTAGTTGGGACACCACAAGAAATCCCCAATCCAAAAAAGTATTCCTTCCTCTAAAACTTTTAAATGACTCTAATTTGCCTAAGACTTTAGCAAATTTATGGTCATAGGAACCACGGTTAAGTGCTGATTCCAAAGAATTGTAAAAGAGAATTTTAGCAAGCTTCAGATTTCTTACATTTGACTTTTAAAAACTATCATAACTCAGACATTTCGTAACATAGTAATGATCTAAAAGTTGGGCACAGGACATTCTTCACATAATCTACGTGTTCTTATTTCAGTACAGCTTAGGGCCTAAAACTGAGAAGGGCTATTCCATAAGTAACTATCAGGCAATTTCACCTTTATATAGATTTGAAAGGCATTTATTAGGTGGGTCTCATTTCTTCTTGGGAGTGCTTTGAGTCTCTTGATTAAATATTGCATGAGGGCAAATTTTTATTACCAGGATCCCACTACAAAAACTATGGAACTGAGGACTTCCCTGGAGGGTCAATGGTTAAGACTTCACCATCCAATGCAAGGATGCAGGTTCAACCCCGGTGGGGGAGCTAAGATCCCACATGCCTCTCAGCCAAAAAACCAAAAGCATAAAAACAGAGGCAATATTGTAACAAATTCAATGAAGACTTTTAAAATGGCACACGTCAAAAAAAAATTTTTAAACAAAAAACAATGGAACTGATTTCTAATCTATTTAAAAGTGCTATGTACATTATAAAGTGCTAAAAATACAAAGCAACATTTATATACTGGGGGATATTCCTGTTATGCATTTGGAAACCAACACTCAGAGTCACTAGCCAAAAAAATGAGAAGCAGTTATAATTGTACAGCTTTTACCCTCACTTCTACAGAGTCCTAAAAATCAATAAGTTATTAGTAAATAGCAGTTAACAAGCTAGTAGGATCTCTCACTTACACGTTTAACTGAAATAATGTGCATGTTCCCACTGAGATTCATTTTGATTAAGTTACACAAAAATAAATGCCATGTTTGGCCTGGTTCTTGATACTTAGGAAAAATAACAGGCTGATAATCTTGTTTATAATAATAATGAATCAATATCAACAGTCAGTGTGAAAAATACCTCATTCCAGGTTAGTGCTCTAACTCCTTACATTTAATTTAAATAAATAAACCACATCTTCCTCTGCCAAGATGGTTATAAGCTCCTTGAGAGCACACATGTTATCTGCATATTTCCTGCATCACCTGCCAGCAGCACAGTGACTGGCAGAGCGTAAACCTAAGGGATGAATTAACAGATTAACAAACAAGCCATCAACCACGGTCCCAACGTGCCTGCGCAGCTTCCACGGGATGGATGTAGACCAGTGTGTGCTGAGGACCATCCACGGAGGCGTAGGAGGCACCATCTGCCGTGTACACCACTTGCTGCGGCGGACGGACCTGGTCATCGGTGTAGACGATCTGGGCCACAGTTCCAGCGTCTGGAACAAAATGCACCTGGGGCAAAAAAAAAAACAGCAAGTACGAAGCGATCACCCTGGTGGAACCCACGCTGTAGCGTAAAGACGGGGAACTGACCAAGAACACCACACACTTGCATTTCTAAAAGATCCCCGTGAAAGGAGAACGCAGTGAATGAATGGGTCTTCATCTGTGCTGAGTTAGTGACTTGGCAGAGGGATCCAAGGACCTTCTCACTGATTTTTACTTAATATTAGGCAACCGATTTAAATACCCCTTTGCCTCAAATATCAACCGCAGGCCTCTCTTTTGGGGCATGCTGAGAAGAAATGGGACAGAAGATTCCTGATGGACAACACTACCAAACTATAAAACACAGATCATTCTATAATGTGGAAAAATATGTCAAGACTCAAAAGTCAGTTGCTTTCAACACATCATAAAAACTCTACTTTCTAACGAAGAGTACCTTTTGGCAAACACATTAAAACAAGGTCACTTGCTTTCGTACAAATTCTTTTGTCCCTCCATGGCTGTTTTGTAGGCAAGGGGTGAATGTTTGCTGACTTGGTGAATGTAACAGAACTTTTCTTTGCCAAGTAGATAAGGACACAAAAAATTCTGTGAATGTACTTTTCAGGGGTTTTGGATAACTATTTCAGTTGTCACCAGAGGAAATAATTTTCTGTCTATGAAGAACGAAAGCAGAAACTGATTCTGTAAAGCGCTTTCTGAGCAGTCAGCTTTGGAGGTTTGAGTTCCTGCAGGTTGGCACACAGCCTAGTGTCTGATATTGAAGGTACAAAGCAGATGGTCAAAGTACACATTTGGGAGAGAAATAATTTATGTGCTGATATTGAAGTCAGGCCCTCTTAGGTCGGAATCTTTACTCTTATACTGTCTTGGCTTTACACATAATTTTTTATTTCAGTTTTTTCCAGTGGAGAACAGATCCCAAAGATGACATAGCTAATTCAACCCACAGAAAGAAAACTAAAGACAAGATGCAGTCAAGCACCATGTAAATAAAACAAACTTCCACTTTAGCACTAAGTGATTACCCCAGCTTCTACATAAATCTGCTCTGCCCATGAAGATACAGTTTGCACAAGAATTGGGCTTTGAAATATTTCTGCAATTTTAAGTGCTGCAAGATAATTTTGTGAGTTTAGATTTGTTTATTCACATCAAAATCTTTAACTAGTTTCGGTGCTTAAAAAAATTTTTTCCCCTTGAGCGTTATCCAGACTCTTCAACTTGGTCTTCTTCACCAAGTACTCGGCTAAACCAGGATTCTTGGATGGGAGAAGAAATATTGCAAGGGATGGGGCGCAACAAAGGGTGCTGAGGTCTGCTGTCTACTGTCTGGCTACCTGCTAATGTGGACCCTATTTATTAATGGACTACATTTTTGTTTATAAACAAAGTACCCCAAAATATATAGCTACATGAAAGTAGCCTTCCAGGTAGCTTCCATGAGAATCAAAACAGCATTCTTAATTATTCTGCTAGAGGCTTCTCTGGTACCTTTTTCTCAGTATTCAGACACAGACTTTTAAATCATATCTGATGATTGATTTTATGTACTGTAACATTAGTTATACTACTTAAATCAAACATAATATGTGTATTTAAAGGTTTCAATGTAAATTTTCTGATTACTTGGCAACTGAACAACTATGGTTATGTAATTTGATGAAAATGAAATTACATATATATTGTAATGCTTTAAAATGAAGTTTCATACTTTGGTCACATATAAAATGTGGCTCCCTATGACTGCTGACTCTTACCAAAATTCAAATCCATACCAAAAATGCAGAGATCCACTTTTGCTAAGGACAGTCAAAAGAATGTGTAGCTGGTTAGTAGAGCAATTTGAAAGGCAGAGATCTCTGAATAAGTGACTAACCTCCAGAGCTGTTGATTCACTGGGACAACTTTCAATGAGAAGTTTACATTCTGAATTTGAAAAGAAAAGGAAAAGCCACTCACTTTATAGACATATCTTGTACTTCACTACACACAAAAAATCAAAACCCTTTCCTGGATAACATAAAAGAAACCCTGCAGTTTGAAGCTTTCACCATGAAATGAAATGGAGCAGTGAAGAGGATTATGACAGTAAACTGGGGGGAAGGCAGAGAAGCCCATGGGTGGTATGTAGCTTCTTGAAATCACAGCAACCTGGGCAGATGGAGCATTCGAAGCACTGAAATGCTGCCTATTCCTTACGTACCATGTCTGCCCATCAGCTCCCTCCTTGCCCCGCAACACTATACAGGAGCTGCTATTTCTCTAGCTGTCAGCAAACTCTACCAACTAAAACACCATGGTCAGTGCCCAGCTGGGAGAGCACTTTTCACCTGTGCGGCGTTCTCCTCATGTTCTGCAGCCGGGGGCCACACGTGTGAGCTTTCATCTTTGGAATCCATCCCCTCCCGGCTGGACAGCGGCCCAGGCACCTAGAGTTGTTCGAGGTGAAGGACAGTCATCTGTCTCCCACTCGCGTGCTCGTCAGGGACAGGAAGGCCTCTCTGCAGCATGCCTGAGAAAAAGAGAACAGGACCCAAGACTTTAAATACATGAATGCATTTTAATAAGTTATAGTCTCAGCCACAAAGAGGAAAAAAAAAAAATAAAAGTTTTGTAAGAGATAACACACCTGGGCAAAAAAGGTGAAAATGGAGAAATTATATGTAATAATGACACAATGCACTGCGTGCATGCTCTGCTCCAGGCACACGTCGGGTGGATGGAGGCTTTATCACAAACACTGAGGGCGGTCCTTAGTTCTCCCCAGGAGGATGACGAGGCCCCCACATATTAAAGGCAGTCAAGTGCTGGGCTGACACCAAATCTTACTGCTGCTCAGCCAGCTCGTCCCTGTTTGCACACCTGTCGAGACACTGACTTCCTATACCACCAACTCAAAAGGAAAAGCAGCATAATAAAAGTCACAAAATAGGGGAAAATGGCAGGTGGAGGCAGCCAAATTTTCTGGGCCACAGTTTGGTGAATACAGATACCAACTTTGTTTCCTATGGAGTCAATACAGGAGTGATGAACTGGCAAATCAAAGCCTCTCTAAACATCAATGGGCACAAAACCTATATCTTGAAATATGACTATTTTCCAAAACCAATGTAATCAATCTTCCCCTTTGATGATGATAAAACACTGATGGTTTAAAGGTCACATGAGATCTGCTGTTTAACAGGGCAGCCGGGCCTGATACACCTCCTTGCGCTAGCCCAGTAAGTGGCATCATAGACAGGCAAGGCCAAGCTGCTCAGAACACCACTCAACTAAAGGTGAGAAGGACCACTGCCCAGAACCCTGCCAGAACTTTCTCCACCGTGAAATAACCTGAGAAACATTCTGAAGCTATGCATGCTCCAGCCTCTGAACTGGAATAAGGCCCATGGAAGAAAAGAAACTGGGACACACAGCGTCGGGGTGTCTGGGATACAGAATGGCCACGTCTGAACCACCTGGGAGCCTCTTGGGAGCCAGGGAGGGGCGTGCGTCAGTTCAGCTGCATCACTAGCATCCTCACCCCAACAGAAGCTGCCCCACCACACACACTTGCCCTGCGCCCTCCAGAGGATCCTGCAAACAATGCCCCCGTCAACAGCAGGTGACTGTAAGCAAAGGGGCTATAATGTTCTCTATCTTGTATCTAGACTGGGGTGGCGGATACATAGGGAATTCACATGTCAAAAGCCATCAACCTATCAGTTAAAAGAGGTGAATTTTATCATGTGTAAATTACACCTACCATGTTGTCTTTTTGTTAAGCATATCTTCCTTATATAGTAGTACTATTTAAGCATACATAAAAAGATAGTGAGAGTGAGATGTACAGTATGTGAATTAAACTTCAACAAAGTTGTTATATATTTTTTAAAAGGAACAAAAATATTAAGAAGCTCAGAGGGATGTCACCGATAATATAAAGAGCTGTAGGAAGATAATCACAAAATTGTACAAAAGGAGATAAAAACTGTACAAGAGGCCCCATATTATAAAATCAGAAAATGTTCCACATTGGAAAAGTTTTTAAATTTTTTTTATTTTGAAATAATTTCAGATGGAAAAGCAACAAAAATAGTACAAAGAATTTCTGTATTTCTTCACTGTTCCCCCAAATGTTAACATTTTACCATGTTTGCTTTATTATTCTCTCTCCTTCTCTTTCATCCTCTTTCTCTCTTTTTCATCCTCTCTCTTTTTTTTAACTTAAACTATTTGAGAGTAAGTTGCAGCCACAAAACTCCTTTACTACTAAATTCTTAAGTGCCTATTTCCTAAAAGAAGGATATTTTCTCACAGAACCACAGTACTCCAATCAAAATCAGGACATTAACAGTGCTATTACCTAACTTACAGACCACATTCAACTTTTGCCAACTGTCTGATTACCGTCCTTTGCAGAGAAAGAAAGCCCGCTTTTTCTGGCCAAGGGTCCACTCTGGCCTCGCACACGGCGTGTCCCTGCCAACATGTCCTGTCAGTCCCCTGCGACTGGGAACAGTCCCCAGTCTTTCCTAGTTCTCCATGACCTTGACATTTTAGAAACTCACAGGCCATTTATTTTTCAGAAGGTCCCTTAATTTGAGTTCATCTGATGTCTCTTCATGGTTAGACTCAGGATACCTATTTTCAACAGGAATTAATACAACAACAACAAAAAAATGCTATGCTTTTCCCATACAGGAATCAGAGATTTTTTCAACTTAGTTGATCAATTGCACAAACACCCAAGCACACACTGGGATGCAGTGAGGATGGAGGCAGGCTTAACTCCCATACTCAGAAAATACACCAGCCCAGAGTGTCTTTCTTATTTGTTTTCATTTCTAGCAAGCTGCCTGCTATTTCTTTTATTTTCAGTTATATACTTTCAATAGGTGGCAAATTCAGTTGACTCAAAATTCAAAAGGCACAAAAAGGTGTACGGTGGACAATCTTGCTACCTGGAATCTCTTACCAGTCTTCAGAACCAATTCAGAGTATCAATTTCTTATCTACTCTTCCAAAGATATTTTATACAAACAATTTATATTATATATAAACAAAAAAATAAATACTCCCTGCTTCTCCAAACCACAAACGGCATCATAGTATTGATTGTATATGATTCTACACAAAGCAGCATCTCTTTTGAACCGTATTTATTCCATATAATACCATCCCTTTTACATTGTTCCAGATCCCTGGAGCATTTGTTCCTTTTTTACTATAGCTTTATCATTTCATTGTATGAACATATCATAATGTATTTAATTTTATGTTGATAAACGGTTATTTTCCATGTTTGTGATGAGTAAGTTTGGACATACGTGTTATATGTTGAATTCTTGTATCTTGAATTCCTCACTGAAGGGTGATATGCAGTCAGTCAAAGTGGCTGTGTGACTGTTAAGTACCTTACTTTCTAACTCCAGCACTGGGGCTGTCCGCTCCCCATGCCTGGCACACGAGGGTCTGGGGACACAGAGGGAAGTGCTCTGACCTGCAGAGGAGGCAGAGTAGCTACAAGCTTGGGCTCTAGACCCAGATTTCGGCAGCAGTTCTGTGACTTCAGTCATGTTAGGCAGAACGTGGACGTGCTCTAAATCACTCTCCTTCTCCTTAAAATCGGGATCCTAAGGTTATTGAGAGAACATGAGATAATGCACGTAAGATGCTCACTTCACATAATGCCTGCCCCATGATAAGCACTCACCAAGTAGCTTTAAAATAAGGCATTCGTTCAATCATATCGCATCTTTCTGTCTGTGTGCCTCCCCATCTCAACTCTAAGTTCCTTCATGTCAAGGAATGTAAGTCACTCTAGATTGAGCATGTGTATAGATTGGTTGCTGGGGTAAAAAAGAAGACACCTGATTCCTAAGCGCTTATCCACAGATGACTTCTTGGAGAAGATGAAAGTTGAAGGATGAACAGGAACAAGAAAACAGAGATGAGAAGGGATGGGATATTTACTCCAGACTAAAATATCTTTCTTCTAATCTTACCAAGATAAAGAAGTAGACATAACATGACATAAAATACCAGAAACCACATAAAGCAAGGATAAAGGGGAGAAAAAAGGAAATAACTACTTAGTAGATGGGGGTAAAATAACAGAACAGTTCACTGACACAAAGGAAAGCCTGCTAGTAAAGTTTAGTATTACAGATGTGAGATATTGCCCAAAATGGCACTTCCCAATCATTTTCCCTTGTGGCACAGCTGGTAAAGATTCCACCTGCAATGTGGGAAACCTGGGTTCGATCCCTGGATTGCGATGATCCCCTGGAGAAGGGAAAGGCTATCCACCCCAGTATTCTAGCCTGGAGAATTCCATGGACTGTATAGTTCATGGGGTCGCAAATAATTAGACACAACTGAGCAACTTTCACTCACTCACTCACTCAATCATTTTAAAATACTGTTAGCACATAAAGAAGCCCAAGATGGTGACGACGCTTTCATTCAAAAAATGTTTGGAATCTAAAGCACCGATACAGAATACCCAGTTCTTGTTCTTTAAGATATACTAACAAGACCTATGGAGCTTCTGTAACTACTGAACTACTCAAAACAGTGTGATATTCTTGAATTATCTGTTGTTTAATAAACTGTTCAAGAAAACTGAATTCTAGGTATGAGTCTGCTCCTAAGTAAGTCACTTGAAATCCTCTAGCATCAGTGCTGTCAACTGTAAAACCAGAGTATAACGGGGTTTCTGGCCTTGAGCTTTGATGGGAAGCAGCAGAGAACAGTAGAAAATCCACAGACTCTGAGTTGAGCACCCGGGCTTCCCCACTAGCTCAGCTGCTCAGCAGCTACATCCCTTGGCCAAATTACGTATGCTCCCGGAGCCTCGATAGCATCCTGTGTAAAATGGAGATGATAATGACCTCCTGGTGTTACTGTGAGGGTTACATGACAAGTGTCAAACTCCCAGGCATAGATCTAGCACATGGTGGTGCTCCAATATGCCAATTTTCACATTTTCCTGATTGTAAGAGCTTCAGAATTTTCAAAACATTTTATATTTTTTTAACTTAGCAGTTTGTCCAATAACAACTGCCCTGTACCTGGACATCCTTCATAGCAAGACTTGTCATATTTGATTTCCTTTATTTCATGGCACAGTTTATAGAGCTCTGTTGATCTTGATTTATAGGCAATGGGCCAGGGACAGGAACTACCTTAGCGCTGTCCAACAGGAGGGTGCTGACAGACTCTGTGAGCTGGGGACAGAGTTCTCTGCTCCTCTTCTCAACCTCAAAGAACCTGGGAGCCACAAACTAGCTTGTCAAGAGAATGGCCACACATCGTTCTTTCTTTCTTTCACCCACTGTCCAAAATGTCAGAGACTTCATTTCCAGGAAAAGAAGCATTCCTAGCCTCTCTAATGATTTTATGGGCTTCCCTGAAA